TTTTAAAAAGATTACGCTTTCCATTGCTCTGCTTCAACTGTTTCCGCGTTGTACGAGAAATACAAAAAAAGGAAAAGAAACAGACTACTAGGAATAAATTATTTTTAGGATGTCCGCCTGTTCGATTAGATTTGTTTGCTGATCAAGCCAACGTCTTCAACCGACGCCTAATAATTCCCACGTCATTTTGAAGAAACAGGTGCTGATAATCACAGAAAATTTAACAACTAGTCTTAAAATACAATGCCGACGATGAGAATGACAGATATTTAGGCATACTCAGGAAATCATTTTGAAATTTGTCTGTTTGAACTGCCGTCAAGAGAATGATGGCCTAAGAATCTGGGGTGTATTCATCCAGTCTAGCTCGTTCATCCCTCAGGGCGATCTCTGAAGTGCGAACAAAGTTCTTAGATCCTTCCCTGGTGTGTCAGGTTAACATTTTAATCTATCCAGCCATTGCTATTCAAGAAGTAATAGGAACTGGTCATTGAAAGAAAGCTTCTGAGACGAATATGCTTTTGAATGTTAAGGAATTTAGACCATTTTTACAAACCGCCTAAACACTAATTTTAGTTTGATTTCAGATCTGATCTCTATTTTAGCAGTTCACTAATTGCTATTTTTATAAACCGACAAGCTTTCCAAAACTAGTAGTCATTTCAAAAGGTTACAGCAAAAAATGTCACTTCCACTTCCAATGCGACTTTCTAAAAAAGAGTTTGATAGACATAACGATTATGCAGGAATATTCTGAGGACTAAAACTTTGCTATTCAAGTTTTAACACGAAATTTGCTGTTTCTATTCATATAAGTATCCTACAATAAAATTCTGCCAAAATGCCGTAACTAACTTGCCGTAGTAGAACGGAAATCCTGCTGACTCAAAGCGTCTTGAAGCCCCTTAACAATTACACGGCTTGTCGACCCGTAGGAACGAATTAATTTGCTCTTGTGATGACCCAAACAAAAACTTCGTACCGCAAAACCTTGATAAAGTTAAAAAACACCTATCACTAGCGCTTGATGAATTTTAAATTTTGGCACTGTTAACCTGCCCCACCTGATTTTTGCGCTCTAATACATATACCCTTTACTTTGGATTAATTCCGCATCGAAATTCCGTCAACATTGAAGAAGTTATTCTTTAATAGTTGGTAGATTTGGTCATGCACGTCTGCTTCAGTACATCAAGGCTAAAGTAATATTGCTCTGCGTTGCAAGGATAACGATTGGTGCGATTTCTTATCTTGTATGGTGGGTTCTTCGCTATTTTTCATTTCTTTAACGTTTGAGTTTTAATTTGAATTCATTTTTTGTAACAGCTAATTCCTGTTTTAATTTTACTTCAAAACACGATAGGATAGGATTCTTTTGATAAGGGTACCTGTTTTTATTCCACCGTAATTTCGAATCCACCTAGCTTGTCGAATTATAGTTGATTTTTTCAGTCGAAGTTCTGCATACCTTACTTCAAACACTGTCTACACTATCACTATGCTTACCTACTCTATAGTGTGCTATGAACAAAATCAGTAGTTGTCTAAGCGAAACGAATTGAAGCGATCAGTGAATTTCGATGGTCTGCTTTAGCAAACCAGTTTTGGGCA